CCCCCACTCCCGGTTTCTCTGTTTTCCGCCCTCGCCCTCTCTGCACCCCACCTCTCCCCCTCCTGTAGGGTGGTGGAACATTCCCAGATGAACCGAATGTCTGCCCAGAGCCTGGCCATTGTCTTCGGCCCAACTCTGCTGCGACCGGAAAAGGATTTCCTCAACATGGCCATACACACAGTCTACCAGAACCAGATTGTGGAGCTCATCCTGATCGAGTACAGCAGCCTGTTCGCCCCAGAGAGCAGGCCACCGTGACCCCAGTAGGTACCCGCTCCCTCGGCGCTGGACCCCCCAACAGCGCCCGCTCCCTCGGCACTGACTCTCCGACAGCGCCCGCTCCCTTGGCGCTGACCATCCGACAGCGCCCCGCTCCCTGACCCTCCGACAGCGCTGACCCTCCTAGAGTACCGTACCCCATCAAACACTCCCAGTGACAGGATTAGATACAGAGTAAAGCTCCCTCTACACTGTGCCCCGTGATTAATGCCTGGTCGATGTTAATTAATATATTCTGTTGTCTGTTGCAGTGAAGAATGGCATCTCTTTGGAATCCTCTGGAGTGTGCGACGAGAGAAGACGACCGATCTCTATGGGTATGGGTGCCAGACCTGCCCTGCCCTTAGCACCCTGATGTCATCTCCTTCCCCATACCACCCCCACCCCCTATGATGTGGCCAGACGGTTCCTCGGACAGGCCCCCCTGGGAACCTCGCTGTTTCCTGCTGTTGCCTCTCTCCCTGTCTCCCTGACTGAGCTTGGTCCCCTGTTGCCAGTGCCTGCTGGCTCCCAGTGACTGAGACCAGGAGACCAGGAGGGCAGGAGCCTTGCTGTGTTTGATCGAATACAAACCAACCTCATCTGTCTCTCTGTGTGTGTGTGTGTGGGGGAGAGAGAGAGAGAGAGAGAGACAGAGACAGCTGGAGCAATCTCTCTCTCTCCACTGCCTTTCTCGTGTTTCGCTGCCGGGACAGGAGCTTGCAAATACGTGACAGCGAGCAAACGCCTCCAAGATTTGTTTTTACATATAAGGCAGAGAATTTATATTTTTCACTCGCTAATGGAAAGCACTTGCAAGAATAAATTGGCACTGATTCTGATCA